AAAAAAACCTCTCTGAAAAAAGAGAAAAAAAAAAAAAAAAAACTCACACTTGGTACATGTGTGTGTGTGCCCAAGATCCCAAGAGGAGAATGGAGGAGAAGGGATTGCGGCGTGTTCATCCCCGCCTCTGTCTCTCTGTCTCTGTCTCTATGGTGAGCGCATGCACCCTACAGCAAAAAACGCAGCTGGTTGAGACCAGCAGATGGTTATGTCACCGGACTCCCATGTAGTTAAGTGACTGTGTTTCAACTTTTTATCTCTTTGGCTCTGTCTCTCCAGCAAGAGCACACGCCCTATAGAAAAAAATCTCTCAAAAATAAGAACTCAGCCGGCACAGGACAACTGTGACTTGCAGAGTCTCAGACGCAGCATTGCACAGCCCAGAGCCGAGATTCAGTAGCTTAAACCCACACGACTGAGTCACACCATTGCGCTCCTACGGCTTTGTATAATTTGCCTTTTTTTTTTTTGGAGAGATTTTGCTATAGGGTGTATGTGCTCACCAGAGACAAAAAGCGAGAAATCACCCTCCCCGCCCCCAGGAGGATGACCATGCCGTAATCCCTTCTCCTCCGGTCCCTTCTCAGGATTTTGAGCACACACACATGCATCCGGCATGAGTTTCAAGCCACCAGGTCTGAGACTCGAACTGCAGTCCGCCATGTGGGAGTCCAGCAACATGACCACTGCGCCATCTGCTGGTCCCAGCGTTTGACATTTCTAAGTACAAATGAGTGCATTTCCAAGGTTCTAGACCCTGACTGCTGAGAGCAACCTCAGCCGCTTCTAGCCACGTGGCTCTGTGTGAGCCACTCCGCTTGTCTGTGCCTCGGCTCTCGGGCAAAGGGAGGCAGTGACGGCACTCACTCTCCAGGATCAGGGCGGCTCCTGGCCTGCCCACGCGAGCGCTAGGCCAGACTCGAGGGCCAGGGGCCAGCTGTCGCGCTCGCCACCCTCAGGACGATGGTTCTCACTCCGGTTTGAGCGAGGCGAAGGCGGCCTCCCCCAGGGAAGTCTGGTCCCACACCACACTTGGCAGTGTTCCAGAGCGGCTCCGAGCTGCGGCAGATAACTGGAACCCCTCCAATTTGGAGAAAGGATGTTTGGGTTTCGATTTTTGGGCCGTGCTGGTTGTTGGTGGTCTGCTCAGCCTCTCATCACCGGTTTATTCGTTAAGGGTTATTTAGTCAAACTGCATGTGTAATGATGTTTATTCGCCTCCACCCTGTGTTTGCCTGGCCTGCAATTTCCCACTAATTAGACTTTTTAAAGTCACATATGCATTTATCTACTCAAATTTGCATCATCCATTCCCCTATTGCCAAAGCAGATGTACACACAACACCCACCCACCCCACTGCAGGAAATAACTCGCTTATTATCACTGAGTTATTTTTCCTCTGGAAGACGAACTGGGGAGGGGGTGGGCACAGATGGGTTTCCGAGCTACCGAAGCCAGGGCCATCAAAACGGCGCAGACGGAAGTGCTGGGTGTGGGTCCGCAGGAGCGGAGGGGCTGAGGGGGGCACAGACTCCCAGAATCTGACATACAGCAGCAAATCCAGAGGACCCCGAGCCCACCACCCCAGCTCCAGCCCCCACTCCAAGGGATCTAGACACCCAGCCCTCCCCAAGAACCAGGCACGACACTACTGGTATCAAATGGCTTTATTCCCCAGTGTGAGGAAGCTGTGCGCGGGGCCTGTGGTCCTGGTAACCCCAAGGACGCCCCAGCCCCCGGCCTTCAGGGCTCCAGAGCTTGCTGGTCCGCCGGTGGGGCTGGCTCTGGGAGGTGCGGGGCCTGCTGTGGCTGCTAGGCAGGACGCGCCCCATAGCAACCTGCAGGCAGTCCATGGGCCCAGGGCCCAACGCCAGGACAAGGCCATCGGGGGCAGGGTCAAGGCCTGGCTGGGCCTTTCTCTAGGAGCGAAGGCCCCCTTTGGGGGCTACTTACTCCTCCAAGCTCACCAGCAGGGCTCAGTCTGGCGGGGAAGAGAGAGAGAACAGGGACTGGAGGTGGGGAGGGGAGGAAGGGAAGACGAGAGACTGCTGAAGAGGAACTCAGAAGTATGAAAAGCCCAGCGGAGACCACGAGAGTAACCCAGGGACAATGGAAAGGCAGCCAGAGAGAAAAGCACGCAGAAATACAGGGACGCGGGCTGGAGACACGACAGACCCTACACACTGACCTCTGGGCCCCGAAGGGACTGGGGGCGGCGGTCCACCTGGGGGCAGCGACGCAGAGCGGCTCAGGGCCTCGGCCACCCAGCCCAGGACGCGGCTACAGTGCTGCACCTGGGCAGCAGAAGGGAGATAAGGGCAGGAGAGACGAACCCCACCGCCCTCCACCCCTGCCCCCCGCGCCCCGGCCCAGCCTCAAGGCCTCACCTCCCGCTCCAGCCCTCTCAGACGCTGTTCGAACTGGCGAATGTGCCCCAACTGCTTCAAGGCCGTGTCCACCCTAGGAATGGAAGGCCGCAGGCACCGGGCTGTGGCCCACCTGCGAGGCCCGCCTCCTGGAGCCCCGCCCCGCC